TTCCAGATTTGGGAATGGGAGCCTGCGCGTCTCGGGGGGTCGTTTGGGTCGCTGATCCTCCTGTCTGGGTGTAGTGTTGAGACAGCTCCCCCTCCCCCCGGCTCAGCTGTTTTCCAACAGGATGTCCCGTTGCTGGGCCCCAGATAGGCCCAGTGGGAAGGCGGGCCCTGATCTTGGCCATTCACCTGCCTTTTCCTACCAGGGCCGGGGCGGTGGGCACCGCAGGGGCCTCACGGCCTTGGATATGACGCTTTCCATGACTGGCCGAGAACGGGCTGAGTATACTCGCTGGAAGCAGGAACGGGACCAGATTGACCGGGAGCGCTTGGCCCGACACCGCCAGCCCACGGGGGAGTGGCGCCGAGAATGGGACGCTGAGAAGATGGACCCTGCGTAAGTCCCCGGTTGCGTGGGACAGCTGCTGGTCTTTCTTTGGGGCAGGGTGGGGGGGGTGGCGGGGTCTCTGGATTTGCGGTTCTGGGGACCGGGAGGGGGTCTTCGGAGCAGTTCAGCTGCATGGGCAGGAGGGTTTTTCTCATGGCTTGCCTCTCCCTCTCCTTGGCAGGCTGAAAGAGGGCAGCGAGCCTGGAGGCTCATCTGGTGACAAGCAGGGTAAGCAGGGAGGTGTCCCGGGGGTGCTTCCTCTTCACCAGGGACGGGAGGTGGCATTGGGCAGCGAGCAGGCAGTTGATGAGAAGACTTGGGGCAGCTTGGCGCCACCTCTCTTTGGGCCACAGGGCCCCACTTGAGAGCCTCTGCCTTCCTTTGGTTTCCTTCGTGTTGCAGAGCGCTCTAAGCGCCCACCCAAGCTGCCCACTTTTGGGGAGTTCCTGATTGGGCAGCCTGGGGACCGGCACTGGAAGATCCGAGGCCATGGTCGCCCACGAGGGAGTCCTTCCAAGCCCTACAGGTGAACAGGGGCTGGGATACCAGAGATGCTGTAGGGTGGTAATCTTGGAGACGTTGGGGAGCTTCAGCAGCAGCATCTTTCTCTTCTTCAGGGCTTGGCATGCCCTGCCACAAGTCTCTGCTCAGCTTTGGCTTCTCTCTGCAGCATGCACGACGATCGGTGGGAAAAGGAGGAGCCAGGCCAGACGCTTCCTGCATCTGCGGGGGAGGATAAGGCAGATGTTGCTCCTGTGCTGCAGGTGGTGTCAGGTTCAGCCCAAAGAATTCCAAGAGACAATGCAAATACAGTTCTGTTGCATTTATTAGCTACACCCTTCAGACAGAAAATCTCCCCAGACGGACCCCTAGTTCCCAAGCCAGCCAGCCACAGCACCGTGAATTCCTTAGGGAGGTGCCAGCCTCATCTTGAACTTCCCACGCTTCTGTTGGGGGCTAAGAACATGCTTATCTCCCTGAGCCTGGCCTTCATAAGTCCATTCTATCACAGGTGGGGGAGGGCTGGGTGTGGGCCCAGCAGCAAGTGTTTTTCTTTCTCACCCCTCCACAGACCAATCTGGGATACCCATGGGGGCCTCTAAGGAGTGGTTGAAGTGGGGTGGCTTCTTCCCAAGTTAGCAGTGGTCCTCGAAAGGTACAAGATTGAGTTAAAGGTACCTTGGAGCTTTCCTCTTTCTCTTACACCTTCTCTCCTGTGGCCTTTTTCTCTTCCACTCTGGGATCCCCCAGGCAGAGCCACAAATAGCAGCGGAGACAGAGGAGGAAGAGGATGAGTGGGAGGATGTCAGCGGGGAGGAGGAAGAAGAAGAAGAGGAAGAAGCCGAAGCTGAAGCCAACAGCAGCCAGGATTCTTCCTTAGAGGAGGACAGGCCTCATCCCTCCTGCTCTCCTGTACCCCCAAGGCAGCCCGGGCAGCTATCTGCAGTTCTGCCTGCTTTACCTCAGGAGACTCCAGCCATGGAGGGGGCACCCTTGACCCCCCTTGGGCCAGCAGAGGGATACCAGCCTGTGTCCGACTGGGGTGAAGAGATGGAGATGCACTCCCCTCGGGCCAGCAATAGCAACCAAAACCCCTTGGCTGTACCCATGGAGGAATTATCTGCTGGGACTGCTGGTAAAGGACAAATGTGGGCAGCAAGAAGTTATTCTGAATGTGGGTGGCTCCTGAGGCAACCCCGGGGGGGGCGGGGAGGAGGGCATATCTCAGTGCTGTTTTTGTTCTTCCCTTCCTGCAGGAGTGGATCCCCCCGTGCTGCTGGCAATGCAGGGATCCCTTCCTGTGGATCCCCCAGCAGAAGGAGCAGCTTCTGCACCCAAAGCCCCGGAGGCAGAGATAAAAATGGATTCAGAAGTGCCTAAGCCTAAAGAGGTGGTTGGCTGAGTAAGGCAGAAGAAAAGGGTGAGTAGACTTCCTTCCCCCACATCATGTGGTCCCTTAGGGATCAGTTCTGGCCCAGGAGCTCACTGGAGCTGGAGATCACCGACTTTCCATCTCCTCCAAACTGGTTCGCCCGCTCCTGTGCTCCTGGCCCTGCCCAGGGAGGGAGCTCTACCCCACCACCTTTGGGTCGCTGCTTCTCTCCTCTGGGAAACGGGTCTTCTCCAGCTGCCTGCTGCTTCTCGTCCAGGCTGTTGTCTGCCTGCTTCCACCATCGTTAAATTTCTGTCTTGTGGTTCGGACATCTTGTCCTCGGAAGAGGATGTGAGTTCTCTGCAGGAACGTCTCTCCTCCGGGGGAGGGGTGCTGGGTGAGAAGCCTGGAGGAGGAGGGCAGGCTTGAGGAACAGATCGTGCTGTTGTTTGATAGCCTGTTTTGCTCTTCAGTTTCCCTGTTCTGATTTTTTCCCTGCTCTTTCTAATGGGTTTGAGACTTGCTTGATCTCGGGGTTTGTGGAGTGAAGTAGCTTAGCTAAAATAGGATGAAAGAAGCCAGGAGTAAGAGTCCTTCTCCTCTTCCACCTAGAGCTTTCTGCTGTTCTTGACGTTCTATGAACCGTGGAATAAAATGCTTTTGGTGTGGAGGGGGTCAGGCATTGAGTGTCCCTTTCTAGAAAACAGAAACCTCCCCCACCTCAGCCAGAGTGTCTGGTTTGGAGAGTTTAACGGCTTTCTCCAGGCTGGTGCTCTCTGGAGGAGCTTCCTCTCCAGCCAGCGTAGCTCTTCCATGGGATCTGAGGGTGGCAGGAGCTGCAGCACTAGGGTTGGAAAGCTGTCTCAGGAACGCTGGTGCCTGCCAGCATTTGTAAGCAAAGGATGCCTGTTGCTTTATTTCAAGGTTTCTAACCCCTTTACTCCTAGAAAAACAGGTGGGGCTGACTGCATAGGGCTTGTATGTATCCCTTTTTGTGGAAAGGGAGTGTTGGGCAAGCATCACCCGTCCCGGTCATCAGAGGAGATGCTGAGAGTTCAGCAAGTAGGAAGTTGCTGGGCGGGGCGGGGAACGCTACTGCCACCCCGGCCTTTTAGCTCACTGTGATAGAGCTTCTCATAGTTACTTCTTGCAGGAAATGGATCCTAACCCTGCACTGGATTTTGGCTTCAGAGTTTTGGCGGAATTATTTTAAATGCAACAAAGTGTGTGACGCCTGCCTTGGAGTTGAGGCAAATGCCTTGCCTGCTGAGTCCACCGTAGCTCAGTGGTGGAAGAGCCCCTGCGCAAAGCCCTTCAGCCCGCCTCTGGTTTGGGAAGAGGCTCAAGCCACAGCAGGGCTGCCTCAAGGGAGCTCTCCTGCCTCCTTAAGCCCTGGAAGGAGAGTGTGCCTGTCCTGTTCCAGTAGCTGCTCCTACGGCTGCTCTCTAGAATTCCTTGGGCTCCTTTGTGGCTGTGTGGTTATTTGTGGAGAGAGTCTGTTTCGGCCTGCCAGAGGCGGCCAAGCCTTGTTTTGCCCTGCGCAGACTCTGAGGGGAGGCAGCCACTGGCAGCATTGCAGCTGGTCCACACTGAACTCTGTGAAGGGGCGAGGAAGGCAAAAGGACCAGCCGGCAGGTCAAGTGGGCCAGTTCCTCATGAGCAGCTGTAAAAGGGGTGGTGCCGGCAGAGGACGCAGTTGGTCCTGCAGGAGAGCTTGTTCGTGCTTCCTTTAATCCGGGAAGGAGGGGGGGGCGAATGGATGGGTGGCCAGGCAACCCCCTTTCTTCACCTGGTACTGCAAAAATCTTTGGCTCACTAGAGCCAAACATTTGCGCTGCAAAATATTCCCATTAAAGCATTACTGTCATCATCGATGTGTAAGTTGCTTAATTTAATAGTTTGCTCAGTCATCAGTCATGCATTATCTTATGTGATTGTGACATTTAAAGTTATTGATGTGTCAGTGTCCAAAAATCAAAATAAGTAAGAGCTGTACTTGGTATTTTAGCTCAAAGTTTAAAATACATGCGCAACATTTTATTATTATTTTGGAGCATTTTTCCTGCTCTTCAGCCAGAAAAGACACCAGAATAATAAATAGTTAATAGTGCAATTTTTGCCCACAAACTTGCAGTCTGAGAATTGGAAAGAAGAAAATGAGTAAATGACCATTTCAATTCAAAAAAGGAGGGTCTCTCCAAAGTGTTAGAATTAGGTTGGGTTCAGAGACCCTGATTAACTAGGCTGGCTTGAAACTTAGCAGCCCACTTGCAGCATGTGCTCAGCTTGCTTAGTTTTAAGCTTTGTGACTTGGCCTGTCGTGCCACAACAATTAGCTTGATTGGTTTATGGCTCTGTAGTGTGCAGATACCAAAGGCTGGTTAATCCAGTCACCAGCTGAAGAGTGCTGTGTGAACACAGCCTTCTTGGGGCACCTGTCCTGGCTGGGCCTCAGAGAGCCTCAAGGTCCCTTTTCTTTGCACATGCAGCCTCCTTCCACTTGCCGTTTCTTGTATGGTGACTTTTTCTGTCGTGCCCCACCAGGAGCGGCTGGAGATTGACGGACCTGAGGCTGTACCCTGATGGTTCTTTTCCAGAATGCAGCTGGCAGCCTGCTGAGAACCGAGCCGGGCCACCTTCTTCCTTGGAGCTGCTGGACACAGCTGTGACACACACATGCATTCTGTGTGTTTCTGCCACTCTTGAACAGTCTCCCGTTTGGCCATGTCAGCCTCCTGCCGCCCGCTCTCCTGTCACTTTTAGTGCTCTTAACGCATAAATCATGGACAGGTGGGGCCTGCAGTCCTCCTCAGATGGAAAGGTGTTGTCTCTCTCCAGCCCAGTCCTTGTGGTCTATTACCTGTGGGTCTGGGTGGAGTGATCTCGGCCCTAGGGGACAGGACGAGGGGCCTTCCTGTCACGGGGTTAAGAGTTTGGCTCCTCCATATCATGTACGAAGCAAATAATTTCTTGACAATAAAGCTTGCACGTGTCTTGCCTCCCTACCCGCCCCAGGGTCCTCTCTGAAGCGCAGGTGGGGAGGAAGACGGACCTTGTGGATGTGTCTGAGGAAACAGGGTGGCTGCCTGTTCACGTCGTTCTTTTAGATACATGCAGAGAATTTTTACTGCAGTGGAAGAGTATAAAAGCTTTAATAATTTATTGGGAGGGAGGAATTCTCAGTCTGCCCTGTGCTGGAAAAACTAGGCACCCCCTGCCAAAGGCTCTGCTACAGATCTGACCAGCAGCAGGGAGCCAAGGAGATGCTTCTGGAAAGCCTCAACTGAGGAAATTGCCCTCCCTGATTATTTTGCCCCTGCAGTTGGCATCCAGAAGTCCATGGTTGGGTCTGAAGCTTGACTATCCTGGTTCTCCACAATCTCTTTTGATACCATCAATCATGGTGTCAGGGGAAAAACCTCATTAAACATGGGAGACAGACACACCAGAACATAAGTCACTTCAAAATTCTAAAAGCTTTATTAAATGTTAGTTCAATAAGCAAGTAAAATTCAACCACAATGGTAAAATTTTGCCACGATGATTTGAAATGATTCCTAAATACTAACGGGGCTAAACCTATAGGAGACAGTAGCAACTTTAGCCAGAAGGTAAGAAGAAGAAAACATGCTCTGGCATCCAATGAAACTATACCTAATTCTATCCTTAAGATGGCATTTTTGACACTTTTTGGTACCATCAAAATGACTCTCATAAACTTATTTTGAATAGTTTCAATTTTATTGAGGTTTGTAAGGGAGCAAATCTGAGAGCCATAGAGGAGCTGGGGTATTACTTTAGCTTGGAAGACCTTGCATGCTGCAGGGATATAATGGGCTCCTTTTGAGTGGTAGAATCTTATAATTGCTGATGAAGTGTGCTGTGCCACACTTGCTCGATAAAGGAAATGTGTATTCCAGAGTAGAGAAGCATGGAATTGCACTCCAAGGTATTTATAGGTGTGCACCTGTTCAATTGTGGTCCCATTTATTTGCCATTTATGGCTTTTAAGATAATATCGGGCAAAAACTAAAACTTTAGTTTACTGATAATTTATTGAAAGTTCTTGATCTGTGCAGAATAAAGCTAGTGCCCTAAGTGCTCTT